TGAGGGAGTTTAAAACCAGTCAAAGGCTTAGAAGAGGTGACAAAGATTCCCAGAGCTGATAGGGATAGGGAAACAGACAAATACAGTGGGACAAAAGCCTCAAGAGATCACATATTGAGCAAATTCTAGCCAGCTCTCCCTTTCGCTCAAATACTCTGTACCTTTAAAAGACTTCTGAATGTTGTATTTGAAAAACACCAGTACAGCTAATGAAGGACCAAATCCTCTTCCATGGGCTAGGTATGGCATGAGAAGCATCAGTGTGTACATTTGCTTCCAAAGTACATCAAACGCAGGAGCAAGAGGCTATCGCAAATGGTGGCCCTCTGGCTTGACTTTCGTTCTGACACTGTCAGCAAGGACAATTAGTGCCAGCCGCAGAAGCAGCTCATACAATGTGGACACAGGGTAAATAATGAGTGGGACTCTCACAGGGCTTGCTAAGGGCAAAACACACACAAAACTTCAGCTCACTGAAAAGACGCAAAGGGACAACTCCACGGCAAACTGCTTTTGCAGCTACCCAGTAACTGAAGTTCAACACAAGTACAATCTCTCTGTGAGCACAGTGGCATCAATTTAAATACTGTCTCCAGGATAATGGTCGACGTTATACTTGCAACAGTTTAGAGAAAAGATTTTGGTTCTTTTTGCATTTAATGGCAATGCAGAGGTTGCCATATAAATACGCCTGAAACTCCATAAAAAGCGTACGACAAATGTGGTAAAAACATGAAAAATACTAAAAGCAAATGCATGTGTGTGCATTGGTGTGTGCATTACAGCTCAGGAATTACCACAGAACATAAAATGAGTAATTACTACTATCACAGAAAAATAAAACCTCTAACAGTGACTTCAGATTCATAGACCTCTAGCACAAAACCAGAGTTGCTTGGCAGCAGCCTTCTACATACACCAGCTTGCATACTTATGGTGAGACATTTTGTATTAATTATTATTATTGCAGATCAGATACATTTAAAACCGTGCTGTAATGTCTTCTGAACACTTTCAAGCTTTGTGTGCCATTACCTCAGTCATTCTGCAGGATTACTATTACTCTGTTAAATTCCTGTCATTTGGAACCTGCCTTTCTTTAAGAAGTCTGCATGAAGGCTTTGGAGAGACATTACTATTTACAAGTTAGAAACTCTCTCCTCAGGTACGTGTGAAATGTGCTATATGTGGGCAGAACAACCCAAGATGTTACTTCTCTCTGCTTTAGCAATCCATCTCCAGCCCTTTACTAGCTTTACAGCTGATAGGAGCAGAACCTTTAAGGCAGGTAACAGCTGTCACATTTGACATATGCCTATTTCTTACTTACCTTCCGCTAGCTATGGTCCTGAGGGTGACTGACCTAAGTAATTCCCCTTTCTTCCCCACACGCCTGTACAGACCTGTGAACTGCTGAAACTCTCTGGATGTGAAGGGAACAAGTGACCTTTCATTCTGCTTTAGATCCTTGGTTTCAATAATACTCATGGGCACCTAATGAAGATATGTCCTAAATTTTAAGTTTCTAGTTCATTGGAAACGTACAAATGAACTGTACGATATGTATGAAATGTTCTGAGTGACATTACACAACATTTACATACCCAATACTCTCTTAGAGCCTCTGCTCTGCACAGCTCCACACACAGGATAAAATAGGAGTGTGATACGGCAGTGTCCCTGAGCCCTGGAAAACACAGTAAGGGCACACTGCCCTGGAGGCAGTACCTTCAGAGGACATGGCATCACTGGAGTTCATAAGCAAAGCAGAAGCTGAAGCTACGCATAAGCTCTGCTCCTCCTTCAAGTGTGCCACTGTGTTTATAGGCAGTTGTTATATTTTTAATTGCTACAGAGAACACAGGCAAACCCACACCAGACTGTTCACAATGGAACACATACACCAGGAAGCTTACAGGAAAGCAGAGTTGATTTTTTCACTTACATTTTTCCTTCTTGTTGCTTTTAATGACTACTGGTCAACTGAATACTGCAGTTTTGCATTTATTTTTATGACACTCCAAATGTGAAAGTTGTTGAGCTGTGAGCTCACTCCTCTGAGATCTGAACAGTTCTGCAGAGGGATGTAGCTGTAGCTGCACTGAAAACCCGCAGACCATCTTCCTAATTTCAACATTTCAGAGGCAAGGGTCAGTGCTCACACTGGACAGAGTTCAAACAATCAGATTACCCTTCTTAATCCTACGGATGCTTTACCTGAAGTCTTTGACAGTTTGACTGCCACTGTAAAACTTTGAGGACTGCATTCTCTACTGTAATGTTGCTTCTGCTTTGTGAGATGCCTCCGCTCAGAACAGATACTGCCTTGGAGCCTAACCTTTATGACTATGTTTGGAGATACTGTCCTTTTGACAAAAACACACAGACTGGAAAAAAACAGGTCTTTTGTTAAGTTTCACCATTTTGATCCTGAATGGAGTTTCTTCCTCCTCATTTCCCCTCAGGGGATTTTCTTCTAAATGGACATAAAGCCACTCTAGTCTGAAATACAACTTGTTATCTTGGGAATAAGAAAAACATATTTCTTAAATCAAGAACATGTCTCTAAATTCATGGTTGAACACGCTAAAGCCTACTGTTAGCTCTCAGAAGAAAATGTTCTGTTTATAAGAACAAAATTTTATATCTATCTGTGAAGAAATACTGGAATATTTTAGCATCAAGGGAAAAGAAGTGTGGGGAACTTATGAATTTTGCATGACATAAGTGTTGCTATCTGTATGCTTGAAAGGCCACTAGATGATTAAATTGGCTATAGTTTTGTTGTGCAAAGAGGGATATGGATCCACATGCTCAGTGGTTATAGAACTATAGGGCAAATGAATAAACAGATGGTACCTTACAGAATGGATATTAATCTCTGCTTCCCCATACTCTGCAGCTGAAGAGACAGGGTCAGAGGTAATTTGGGCAGGGTATCCACCTCTAGGACACAATGTAGGGCCCATCACAAGATTCTCTGGAAGCGAAATGAAACCAGATGTGCTGCCGACTGAAACCTGGCACAAAACAGGCAACCCACATAGAGTAGGAGCTGAGGTGTCCTCTCCCCTTCCTTACATCTACATACCGGGAGAGACAGCTGGGAGAGAACCCTTCCTGGGTATCAGCCAGTCCTGAGAAGAAAAATACTTCGTATGACAGGTTTCAGATCCTGGAAACATAGGGACATACAGATGTGCCAGATGCTAAAGGCATATGGAATACTCAAGGTCACTGACTTGCATATCTGTATGCCACTGGAGGAAGGTACAGAATATTGCAGCAGGATCTGGAGGCTCTGAAAAAAATCCTCAGATGTGTAACTGTCTTTAGATAAACCTACACTTCTGGAAGAGAGGTATACCCTGACTTTAACTGGTTGAAAAACGCATCAAAGGAAGAGAACTGCACATACTGGCCAGCCTGACACAGGAGAAGAGGTCACTCGTATTTAATCCAAGCACTAACACAAAGCCACAATACGCAGTTTCTGGAGTAAAGAACTGACAAGCTTGCTGAACAGCCTGGCCAAGAGCCCAAAAGTCTGATAGCAAACTCAGCACGTGTGTAGACTGTTTAGTGGTTTACAGTCTGTTTATTTCTGCTATGACTTTTGTTCTTGAGTAAGTCCTATGCAAGCTTCTGCAATACAGAGTCATTGGCAAATGCTGTTGTTGTCCCTGAGAAAATAAAATGGCAGGGGCCACTTATCCCTACAATAAAACCCCCTCTCTGGATGTAGGCATCACTCCCAGAAGGTGATGGGGGGGGGTTGCACATTTGAAGATACGTTCCTGATGAAGACAAAAAAGAGAAAGAAAAAAGGAAAGGCAGCTGGGCTGAGGCAGCCTGTGCCAACCCTCTGTGGGATAGAGTCTCTCTGTCAGTACTCTGCCATAACAGGTAGAGTGTCTTGGCTTCCCTTTGCTCACTGTGGAAAAGCTCTTCAAAGACACCTGCAGTTGTGCAGGCAGCATGCTGTTAAGGTACTCAGGTGCTACCTCTTCTTAGCTGAGCAGATTTTCTAGACTCCACACAAAGCACTGATTTGACTTTCTAAACTGCAATAAAACTGCAATAAAATGCTAGATTTGAAATATGCAAATCCAGAGTTATCTGGCCCCTCAATAGTATGCTATCAGCAAACACAGCTGGCTAAAGAGAAGACAACTTGCCATTCCCTGGAGCAAACTGGCTGGCTCGATTTAAGTACCACACATATTTGTGAGGGGTTTTTTACCTACTTTATGAGAAGATAACAAGGTAAGCAGAGGAAATGGAAGGAAAAGCTGAAAATCAGTTAATTGTTCAGCTGTCAACATGAGGTCCACCATTACTGACTTTCCCTGTAGAAACTTAAGTCATACCAAAGATTATGGCCATTCCTCTGGGGCAAAGCAAACACTTTGAAGGTCATGCAATAGCAGAACAGTCACCCAAACTTACATCTTCCCCAGTAAAAGTATTTAGACTCTAAAATCCACAATTTAAGCCTATCAACAGCACTAGCTGTGCAGAGGGAAGGGCTTTACGCACCAGAAAGTGATAATGAGTCATTTGGACTACCACCTGAATTTGTCATTACAAATATTTCCATTTGGGAATTCTCTAAGATGATTCAAAACTACTTCACTGGCTTTTTATTTCTTGTTTCATGTTCCACTTAACAAACTGCACCTGTCTTGCAATTCTGACAAGTAGCCCTGATGTCACTAATGTTATTCTGGCAGATGAGGTTTTAGGTTCCTAACCTACTTAAAAATAATTCATTATTAACATTTGGGAAGAAATATCACAGAGGCATTTCCTGGTAGGCTACATGTAAGTGCTGCCATCAACCATGAGCAACTCCAAGGCATTTTAATTTCACTAGGTAACCAACCAGTTGCTGGGACTCACATATCAATGGATATTTAATTAATCTTTAGAAATAGACAGTTCTGGAAACATTAATGGTATCTGTCACAGAGAGATCACAGTTTCTAAAAGGCATATACCTGTTCCAAAATGGTGTTGATTCTGTCTACTTCACAGTCAATTAAGTATCTTTTTTCTTGCCGTCTGTCCATCTCCTCTATAATTCTTCTGAACTCTTGAACATCTTTTATGCTTCCTACAGATCTGGCTGTCACTTGCCAGTTGTTTTGTACTGCTGCTTCCATAATCGCCTGAAGAATGGAAAACCCTGCAGGAGGAAGAGACAGTGCAACTGTTTAAAAACAGAACAAAACCAGGTTTGAATGCTTGGCAAAGGGTTCACAAAAACTTGCATCATCCAAAGGGACACAGACTAGCTAACAGCCTGCAAATACTTCACCACTTGAGAAAGCAACAGTGGAGGGACCAGTTTCTTCTTTCAGCTATGCCACTGCCAAAGTCACTGACTTCAGCAGAATTGCTTGGCGGTATATTGCTGTGAGGCGTATCAGAATCTGTCCAATATATCATATTATGATCCTCTTAGGGATGTTTATAGTCATGCTGGGGATCGTGCCAGCTGAGAATAGGAGCCTGCAGCCATTATTTGGGCAAAAAACCATCAGCTTGAAGGGCTGGACAGAAGGGGTAATTTGCTTGTGCAGACTGCAGCAATGGGTCATTAACTGGCAGAGATCCAAGCACTGCTCAAGAATGCCAATTAAGTCACTGCGCTGGCTATTGAGCCACAGCCCACAGGAGAATATTTTACTGATACTCACCTTGGTTTCAAAAAATGTTTTTAAATATGGAGTCTAGCAGCATTAAGCACGCTTTGAATGCTTTCGTTAAGGTAATACCAACTCACTTAGCAGCCTCAACAGAGGAGAGAAGCCGCACAGAATAACCAAAGGCTGCACAGTGGGAAATCATAAAAGCAAACGGCTTTTCATTTCTTGTGAATGGCCATGCAGACAGAACTGAAGTCCCTAAGTGAAAGGTGGTGGAACTGAGAATGGTGATCTTCAATTCATGCTATGTAGGAGTCATCAGACATTGATTTGCACCCCTTTATTATCTGGGAATTTGGTGAATTACCTATTTAGATTCAGGACATTAAAATACTTTCATAGTTCTAATTGTTTCAAGTCTGGGTGGATGCCAATCAAAGACAGAGGTCATCTACTTCAAGCACACACAGTGGTCTCCAGAGGAGTTTCTTTCATCAGAAGCATCAATGTGCACTGTGCTTCTGTTCAGATAATTTATTTGCAAAACTTTCAATCCAATCATTTAGTCATGCTGTGGATTTCTTATCCATAGCCAGATTTTAAAAGTGCACAAACACATGAACATACAGGATCAACAACCAATTGTGCTTTTTGATAAGTAGACCCTATGCTTCTGAAACTGAAATGAGTTTGAGCTACAGAGGAACAGCATGTTCACTGCTTCAAATTATACCTATAGCTACTCTGAACTTGGGTATCATTGGAGGTAACTGAGAACTGTGCCGCAGTGTGATCATCCATAGCCTGCTGTAAATCCGTAGTGGCTGTCTGAAGCCAGAGGAGCTGCACCATTACCTCATTACAGACACAAACAAGGAACGAATGTGATTTTCTCGATTGCAATTAGATTATTACAATTTACCATGTGACTTCCTTAAGTCTTACTCAAATGCCCCCACTTTACCCGTGCAGCCTCCTGGATTCTTAATGCTTGATTTGTATGAATGCACTTTACTATCCCATGGAAGGTGGTGACAATTAATACATACGCTGGTTGGGAATTCTTTCTGGCATCTTCTTTCCCCTGAGACTATTGAAAGAGAGGCATTTACATATGAACTCAGTCTTCCTTAACATCATATTTTACAAAAATGGCTGTGATGTCTGTGACAGCACTGTGATCCCATTATATGTAGGAGGAAGATCTAAGACTAAGATACTTGTTTCACTGCAAACAAGGAATTCTGATGTGGGAACATAAACACCACTAATGGGGACTTATAAATGCTTTGTGTACAAAGACGTGCTTTTAAAAAAATATGATTCCACTAAGTAATGAATATTTACAACTTTGTTTCATCATTCATATATTGTCTAAGCATGAACCTTGAGCTTGCTGTAAACAACAGAAAACAGTCCATGAGTCTATTTTTTTCACTTAAAATTGAACAAAATGGTGCAACATAATTTAAAAAATGACACTTCAAAAAAACCCTGTAGCTCTACTTTATGCTAATATCACATACAAAACTTCTGAATTGCCTTGGGGAAAGAGTGAAAAGACACATGCTGGAGAGCAGATGCCATCGGTTGACTGCCACGCATCTGGCTTCAGTTAACTGTTTGAGTCAGAGCTCACTTTGTCAAACCTTGAATATCTCAGAAGAAAGCTGGGCAATTTTCCTAATTCTGTGCAACTGCATGTTCGTGTGGGTGTGAGTGTATGTTTTTGCATGTGTGTGCATTAGCAGTTGCCGTTTCAAGAAAGAGAAGGACAAAGTTACTCAGCAGCCTTTCTCCTAGACATGAAAATACAATTACAGCTATCTTACTGTGAAGAAGTTCCAGAGCTTCAGCACCTCTGTCTTCTCTACCTCATGTTTCTCCTTGTCACACCAAGTCTTTACAGTCACAGTCCCCTCTACCTTTTCCAGGTCTTGGAATCCTTTCTATGGTCACTGTGCCATGCAGGCTCACCTCTCTTGGGCTCGCTTCCTCCCGTCCTCACTTTGAGAAGTAGCAGTTGCCCTTCCTGCTCTTTAGGCCAGCCCTCTGACAACATTTACAAAGCCCACTCCCCCTGCCTTACAAAAGCATCGTTCAATCCTCCTGCTCGCAGGAAAGCAGCATCTTGTCATTGTTGCAAACACGTGTTCCTTGTTCCCAACCTCTGATCTCTCTCCATGCCTATTGCCTTCATCCCATTTACCACCTTTTACATCACTACCCATTATGTGGTATTTCTGTAAACATGTTCCAGGCTCCAGATGTACTCTACCATTAAGAGAGCTGTTATATAAGTAGTGTGATTGTTTAAATAAAAGGACCATTTTATCTTCAAATGTGCATTTTTCTTTCTCCTTAGCATAACAATGCAAGCTGTGATAGTTTGGGGGCACTGCCTAAGTAAGGAATGAGGGCATTTTTTTCTCTATTCGATGCACGTCAGTGACCAGACCTTCACATGGAGCTTTTCGATTCCCTATCCCACAGTAAACACACTGTGCAAAAGCTCTACAGGAGATGCTCACCCCAGAGCAGCCCAGAGGTGCTAAATTCTCCTGGGTGTCTCTCACCCCATTCACCCTAAAGGAAACCATCCAGTCATGGTAATTATCTCTATCTTGTAGTCTTTCTATGGTCTGCATCAGTCCTAAAGATTAAAGACTGGTAATTCACCGCAGGTCTGTGAAAAATGCTTTCATTAATACTGCTGCCAGTTTATACTACTCGATAAAGCCAAAAAATATTAGATACGGCAAGAAAAACTGACATCCTCCCAGAAGATGACAGCAATGTGATCGTCCAAAACCAGGTTCGTAACACCACTACTGAAATTCAAAGGTTGTTCATTCTATAGTCAGTAATGCAAATACAGACCACAGGAAAAATTCATTCAGACCCCAATCTGATCTTTTTACCTCTTTTGTTTTAGTCATACCTTGGATGTGAAAATGCAGCAGGATGGAAGTCATGCATTTTCCTGGGAGCACTGCTTCTGAGGATAGCTCATCTGATGGCATCACATCCCTTCACTGCACTGTTATTAACATGTTGGCGTAACTGATTTATAGATATGTCTGGTCACATGATGGTGATGTCCATACTTGCCAGGTCATGCCATGGACCCATATTATGATATGGTCCCTTTTAGCCAACTACTGGGGAGGGGTTACTCCTGTGATCTCTGAATACAATCTCACAAGACAATCTCATCTGCACAGACTAAAAGCAGAGACAATCCCGGCCTTTACATTCAAATGTGTCATTGTCTGGTTTATTCTTGAGATATTGATGATTCAAAAGACCTAACCTTCATTCTGAACAGTCTGCAAAATGACTGGACTGGAGGCAGATATAGTAATAAAACTAGAACAAAACAAGTGCCCAGGTCACCTCTCAGTGAGCTGAAGCAAGTATTTTGAGATTTGCTGACCAAAGCTTGCAAAGAAGTCAAATATTCAGTAAAAATTTCCCTCAAAGCAGGGAAAATGTAATTTGTTGCCATGCTATCTCTGTACTTTAAACAACCCAGACAGAATTACATTCTAGGAAGCCCTCCCTGCAGCTAGACAAAGACACAAATTCAGAGTTATCTTCATAATTCTGCAAGGGAAGCAAAGCCTGTACCTCAGTCTTTCAGATCATCCCTTTGATACAAGCACCTCTGAACTGACCCTACTAACACAGGTGAAGAAGATATTGCAGTCTTTTGCATCTATGAAACCTTTTCCACACCCATGTAAGCAAAATGCGTCCGAGCAGTGTTCTCAGCCATATGAAATTCTATGTACTACATCACTGAACTTACTTTTAAGTAACAAGAATCATTAATGTGTCATGAATAAATGACCACACTGGAACATCTGTAGCATCATATGAGCCCTTAGAACTCGCACCAAAATACTTACTGACAAAAAATTACCACCTATGCAAACCTCTCTTTTCCTGAATATTCCTGATAAGATTTTGGACTGCAGCCTTCTATTAGAAAAGAAATAGCATTTCCTTGAAGTCCCTCTTTCTTTTGCCTTACTGAGTGCCAAAGATCATTGAGGGGTATATTTTCTTGGAATGCAGCATGCTTGTGCAAGCTGAATGAACATCAGCTCTAATCTGAATACTTGTGTTTTGAGCTATGCTTCTGGGACACGACATGAAGAACTAAGCTTCTGGCCTATAAATGAACTTCTGGGATTTAAGTGAGGAGCTGTGTTTGACAAGGGCACAATGAACTCACCAAAAGGAGGCCATCACAGCAAGTGTTTTCCCAAGACAAGTACAAATTCTACAATGCCAGCTTACATTTCAAGCGTACCAGAGGTCTTAAGTTGAGAAATTCTTGGATATTCTGTGTGTTTGGCACTGAGCCTAGCAAACAGACCAACATGTTAGCATGAGTAAAAAACAACTAGCCAACCCAAAACACTCCCCATCATTCAAAATCCAAACATGTCAGGCAAGTATGCTTTACATCACTTATGTCTGCTTAACGATTTTATAGTAAGGGAAGAAGTAAGGAACAAGCTACTAAATT